AGATTATAGCATTGCAAGGTCTCTGTTGTAGGGGGCTATCCTCTTCTATCCCCATCTCATCTGGAGAACCCAAGCTTTCACCTTCTCCTCAGGAATACATTACTAGCCAAGGGAATGAAAAATGACCTTATACATACTCAAAAATTAGATTTCTCTCAAAGGCGCAAGTAATATGAAAGATAGACAAATTGGAACAATTTATGTGAAAGGAAGCAGAAGTAATGGAAAAATCAAATAAGGAAGTGAAGTGAGAGACATCAACAAGATGACCGAATAAGATGTCCTTCACTCATCTCTCCACCTCAGCAATAATTTGGCATCCCTCTCTGAACAATAATGTATTTGTGGGAGCTTTGGGATCCAGGTAGGAGACTGGAAAACCCTTGTGCAGTTCAAGACTGAGGCGAGCTATTTTGTGAAAGCAGGCTCACATCCAAGACATTAACTTGGTGACTGTGGTCTTGGTAGCGGACCTCGAAACAGCTCTGTATCCCTGAGAGCTCAGTTACAGCCCCTTTTGGCTTTGGTTCTGTCACCAGCACCATATACTAAAGGACCTGGAAACAGTCACCCTTACCTCACAGCCCTAAAGCGGTCTGTGAACGAATCCTAGCCCCTCTCAGCCATGGTCCAGGAGTCTTTAGAGCTGACATCATCAAGGTGATGCCATAGGTTGTTCCCGACTTCAACTGTCCTCACAGGAAGACAACCATCATAGCAGCTGTCCATAGACAAGACATCCCTGTGAAAATCCCAGAACCCAGGGTGAGGCTGAAAAACAACCGCTGGAACCACAGGAATTGGAAAGGACCACATTGGAAGGGTAAGAGGAGCACAGTGCCATCACAGAGAGGCACCCCCTGGACATTTGGTTTCTCCAGTGGGAAAACAGAACTCAAGGTGATCACCCAGCTCCTCCAGGATCGTGGGACACTTCCCAGGAGGCTCACTTGGGCATTGCCTCAGGGGATCATTGGGGAATTTTTAGAGCGTGACTTCTGGGGATCAGATAAAGATGGAGAAGAGGAACGTGGCTTATAGCAACCAGCGCTCCTATCTTGGTGGCTACATTTCTGCTTGCAGCAGCATCTAGGCAGAGATCCCAGCCAGTGGCTCTGCCCTTCTGAACATCCAGCTCCATGGCCTGCCTGGCCAGGCAGCTCAGTTGGCATTTTTGTCTGATTTGAGTCCCTAACCAATGGGCCACATCAGCCGTGGAGACCATTCTGTGGCCTCACCCCAGCAAGGAAGCTCCACCCAACTGCTGAGCATAGCCTCCTATCCTACCTGACCAGAAGCATGACCAGAGAACCTGAGCAGCTGTAGAACCCATTCTATAGCTCTGCTCTGGCAGGGAACTAAGCCAGCAGCCCTGTTCAATTGTTGAGCATAGTCTCTGGTCGCACATAATCAAGGAGCCTGAACACTGACCCTGTCCAACCTCAGAGCACAGTCTCCAGACCCACCCAACTGCAGGATACAGTGGAGGTCTTGGTCAACTTGAGGACCTGTGCAGCATTATAACCCAACAGTGGAGCACAGACATCAGATGACCTGGTTGTGGAGCTCGGCCTGCGGCCTCACAACTTCAAAGCACAGCCTGTGATCCTGCCTAATTGTGGAGCATAGCCCTGACCTACTGTGAAGCCCAGACTGGTCCTGCCTAAAAAATGGAGTTTAGCCAGTGGCACCATCCAGTTGGGGGAATACAGCCTGAGATTTCACCAGACCAAGAGCGATTGCAGAGCCTAGCCCATAGTCCTGCCTAGTTGCGGAGTCCAGCCATTGGCACTGCCCTGCCAGGGAACACAGCCTATAATCTTGCCAGACCAGAGGTGATTACAGAGCCCAGCTAGTGGCTCCAGAAAAAGAGAAACGCAAACATACCCAAACTTCTAGGATATAGCAAAAATAGTTCTAAGAGGAAAGTTAAATGTTATAAATGCATGCATTAAGAAAGAAGAAAGATCTCAAATAAACAACCTAACTTTACATCTCAAGGAACTAGAAAGAACAAACTTAGCCCAAAGTTAGCAGAAGGAAGGAAATAATAAAGACTAGAGCATAATTAAATGAAACAGAGAAAAGGAAAACAATAGAAATGAATACCAAAAATAAGAGTTGGTCCTTTGAAAAGACAAAATTGACAAAACTTTAGCTAGATCCATAATGAAAAAGAGAGGACTCAAATAAGTAAAGTTGTAAATGAAAGAGAAGACATCATAACTAATACCAAAGAAGTACAAGGATCAGGAGATTACTATGAACAATTATGCCAACAAATTGGATAACCTAGAATAAATGGATAAATTTCTAGAAACAAATAACCTACCAAGACTGAATCAGGAAGAAATAGAGGACCCGAACGGACCAATAATGAGGAAGGCTATTGAATCAGTAATCAAAAACCTCTTAACACAGAAAAGCCTAAGATGAGATAGTTTTTTTGGTAAATTCTATGAAACATTTAGAGAAGAATTAACACCAATCCTTCTCAAACTCTTTCAAATAATTGAAGAGGAGGGAACACTCCCAAACTCATTTACAAGGTTGGCATTACTCTGACCTGATACCAAAACCAGATAAGTGCACCGTTAGAAAAAAGAACAAAAACTACAGGCCAATGTGGCTGAAGAACATGTATGCAAAATTCTCAACAAAATACCAGCAAACCAAATTCAACAGCACATGATACGGCTGCCAATTCAGTGGTGAAAGAAAGATCCATTCAACAAATGATGCTGGGACAACAAAACATCCACATAAAGAAAAATGAAATTGTATCCCTACCTCATACCACATATGCAAATTAACTCCAAGTGGATCAAAGAGTGAAATGTAAAAGTTAAAACTGTAAAACTCTTAGAAGAAAACATCAGAGTAAGGCTTCATGACTGTGAAGTATGTAATGGTGATTTCACTGTGACACTAGCAACAAAAGAAAAAGATAAATTGGACCTCATCAAATTTAAAATCACTCGTGTCTCAAAGACACTATTAAGAAAGTGAAAATGCAATCCACAGAGTGAGAGAAATATATTTACAAATCATATATGATAAGTCTAGTATTTAGGGTATATGAAGAACTCTTATGACACACCAGTAAAAGGACAAATAATCCAGTTAAAAAGGGGCAAAGTATTTGAATAGATATTTCTCCAAAGAAAATATACGAATGACCTATAAGTAAATGAAAAGATGTTCAACATATTCATCATTAGGGAAATGCAAATCAAAACCACAGCAAGACACCCATTTACATCCAGTAGAATGGCAATAATAATAATAATAATAATAATAAAAAATAGACAATAACAAGCGTTGATGAGGATGTGGAGAAATTGAAACCTTTATACATTGCTGGTGGAAATGTAAAAGGATGCAGCCACTTTGGAAAACAATTTGGCAGTTTCTCAAAGTTTTTAAGTTACTGTTTTTTAGGCCCCAAATTCCACTCCTTAGCATCTGCTCAAGAGAAATGAAAAACATATCTACAAAAAAATTTTACCTGAATGCTCATAGCAATATTATTCATAATAGCTAAAAAGTAGAAATGAAACAAATATCCATCAACTGACAAATAGATTTTTAAAATGTGTATATCCATACAATAGAATGTTACTCAGCTATAAAAAGGATTGAAATACTAGTATGTCACAACACGGATAAATATTATGTTAAAGGAAAGGTTCCAAACACAGAAGGCCACATATTATATGATTTTCTTTATATTAATGTCTAGAATTGGCAAATGCATAGAGAAGAAAGTAGATCAGTGGTTGCCAGAGCCTGTGGGAAGGGAGAATGAGAAGTAATTGCTAATTGGTATGGGATTTCTTTTTAGGGTCATGAAAATGTTCTGGAATTAGTGATAATGGATGCAAATCCTGTGAATATACTAAAACACATTGAATTATACACTTTAAAAGGGTAAATTTTATAGCATATGAATTATATCTCAATAATAAAATTAATGAATAAGCAAAATACACGGTATATTAAAATACGATGAGTATAGATTTGAAAGTCATTGTTGACATGATTCAGGGAGCCTAGTTAGTGGGTCCTCCTCAGCAAAATAAGCATTTAGTCTAAATGATCTATCGGTGTCTTCAAATCTAGCTTCCAGTAATTCTCTCAATCTTCCTGTGTGATCAGCAACTTCAAAAGAACTACTAGAAGAGTCAACTCTAGAGTAAACACCAGTAAAAATCTTATACCTTCGGTATCTCATTTAAGGCAGCTGTATTTTTGAGGATGGGTCATTTGGTCTATTTCCCTTTTTTTTTAAAGAAAAACTCTCATTTGATGGAAATTCTGTGAGATTATAATTTCCCATGGAGATTTCTAATTGATTATGAGCTATGTGGAAATGCTGAAATTAAAGCAATTTGTAAAACTCATTATAACCATAAATGAGAAAACAGTTTTCACAAGGGTTTAAGGAAGAAAAGAAACATGGATAGCTGTTTTTTGGGGGAGGCCAACTTATGAACGTGTACAATAGTCAATGTTGGCATAAAAATAGAGGGTAAAGAATAGTGACCACATAAATTTTGTGAGGACACAGATTTTGTATAAGGCTTATTGAGCAGTTGTTAAGAGCTTGGGCTCTGCAGTCACCTTATTGGGGTTGGGATCCTGGATCCACCACTCATCATGACACTACAACTATTTCTTTATCTGTCACATAGCTATAGTAATTGTTGTACCTCTCTGTAAGACTGTCGTGAGGATTAAATTAGATAATACTCGTGAAGCACTGGGAAAAGTATCTGAGCCATGGTAAGGGCTTAGCAAACAGTATTATCTGTTTTCAACAAATACTCCAAACACTATGAATGTTTTAATGCATGTGGCAGTGCATGACGATACTTGTTTATAGTGTATTGTCTTCTAATCCAACTCTCCCAGTAGTTATTTTTTGTTACACAATGAGATTTTTCATAAGGTAAATAACATTTTTTACAGAATAAAAGCAAGAAGACTTCACTAGCAAAATGAAGATCCTGCTAATTATATTTGTCCTAATCCTTTGGACTGAAACATTGGCAGATCAGAGCCCAGGTATCAGTATATTTTATGTTTATTTTTATTACTTGGGAAAATAAAAACTTTTATGCCTCAACAAACTTTTATTTTAATAAATACAGAGAAGCAAAGAATTAATTTATTTACGAAAAAAATCAAAATAGCACTTAGTTGGAGTTGGAGGTATACAATATCAAACTAATTTAACCTCTCAAAGATAACAGAAAGCCAGGGGCAAAAGTCATGAATTATACTACACCTGGCTAGAAAGAATTTAATTCTTTATTGATTTGGTTATGTCCCAATGTTCCCTGTCTCTGTGAACAGAGTCAAACCATTTGTTTTGTAGGTCAGTTTGCATCTTGGCCATAATAAATTGAAAAAAAGATAAAAAAGGAACACCACATAGGAAATAAATTTTATGTGTTTTTGTGGCTAAGCCATTGCCTTCCTTTTCTTTTACAAATATGAAATAGGGAAGGGCAGACCTCTTTGGGACTTTCTGGTATCATGTTGTTTATTCTTTAGCACAATATCAGAGTTTGGGGTTCCACAACAAAAAAGGAAAAAAAGTGTCAATTGCCTCCAGTATAGAGCTGAGAAAGAAAAATTTATTGGCTAACTTTACTAAAGTCCTTTTGGTTAACATTTTAGCAAGAACAAGTACAGTTTCTTCTGTGTGACATCCAGACAACACTTTCTCTGGGGTCCTGAGTTACCCTGAACACTAGGACATAGTCTCCAATGAGTGCTGTGGCCTGAAATGTAAAGGCTGAGCAAAACATCACCTTGTTTTGGTTTGTTGTCATTTTATTTTGATAGAACCAGGCCCTGAGTATGCAGATGTTGTGTTTCTGGTGGACAGCTCTGATCACCTGGGAATTAAGTCCTTCCCTCTGGTGAAAACGTTCATCAACAAAATGATCAACAGTCTCCCCATAGAGGCCAACAAATACCGCGTGGCCTTGGCCCAGTACAGCGACAAGCTCCACAGTGAATTCCAGCTGAGCACCTTCAAGAACAGGAATCTCATGCTGAACCACCTCAAGAGGAACTTTGTGTTCCTGGGCGGCTCCCTGAAGGTAGGAAACGCTCTCAGGGAAGCTCACAGGACCTACTTCTCTGGACCGGCAAACGGGAGAGACAAGAAACTGTTTCCCCCGATCTTGGTGGTGCTGGCTTCCGCCGAGTCCGAGGATGACGTGGAAGAGGCTTCCCGGGCCCTGCGGGAAGATGGGGTAAGAATCGTCTCCGTGGGGCTGCAGCAGGCTGCTGAGGAGAACCTGAAGGCCATGGCCACAGCTCAGTTCCATTACAAGCTTCGGACAGTCAGAGACCTCAGTGCGTTCTCCCAGAACATGACGCAGATCATCAAGGATGCGACTCGGTACAAGGAAGGCACAGCTGATGCTGACATAAAAGGTAAGAAAGACTTTGGTTGAGGGCGCCCAATCTCCATATGATCAGATCTCCATCTCTCCACCCTTATCTCTTCCTGCTTCCATCCTCGTTTTCATGACTAGCCATGCAGAAGTCTTAGAAATTTCTACACAACACACTCTACTCTTACTCACTTCTGCCTTTCTTGTGCCATTTTCTCTGACAAGGAAGCCACCTTATGTAGTACTGAATGCCATGAACACAAGGTCTGAAGATCCAGACAGTGTCATTAGCTGGCTATGTGAACTTGCCAGATGTCACCTCTTTGAGCCTTGCATCAGCATCCTCATTTCTAAGACATGGGAGTTGAGATGGTCTTGAAACTTCCTTCCTGCTCTACCATTCACCAATTCCATGGCTATAGCAATGGGCTGATTTTGTAGTCAGACCAGGATAGACCTTAATAACAAATAGACTTCCTGAATAATAAAAAGCTTATTTATTTCCTTTGTGACATTATAGAGCCAGTGCTCAAGACCAGTTGTTTTCTTCTATTAAGATACTTAGGTTGGTGCAGGCTCTTCTGTATTCAAATATAACTTCCAAGGTGCCCTGGGAATTGGTATGCAGCTGATGGAAGGGAAAATAGATGGAAGATCACTCATGGGAGGCTTTTATGGGCTAAGCTTGGAAGAGATGCACACTACTTCTGCTCACATTTTATTGGCCAGATCTTAGTCCCACGGCCATACCTAACTTCAAGTGAGGCTAGGAAATCAGGTCTAGCTCTAAGCCCAAGAAGAGCAAATAGATTTGTGAGTATCTAGAAGGCTCTACACAGTTGGTATTGTCCCTGAGACACCAGTGAGTCCCTTTCCCTCCACTCTCCTCATCCTTCACAGCGGCCTTGGGGAAAATAGCAAGTTCTTATGGCTAATGCCCTTCTCCTGGAGAAGAAACCCTCCTGTGACCCTCTACTCTGGAGATCTTGGAGATTTTTCAGCCTTGAGGGTGGCTGCTTAGTCCTTAGAGCTTTCCAGTACAATGGGACTTTACCACCTTCTTAGAGGGTTCTGTGTGCTACCGTGCATCTCTTACTCCTCCTAATTTACTTTATAGCAGTAGAGAACAACCAAGTTTTACTTGACAGGACCCATTCTTGCCTTTCAAGGTTAAGAGAAGGGCTTTAGAGTCAGAAGGTCTGGGTTCAAATCCTGGCTTGGCTGCTAAGGGCTTTGAGTAAATTTTTTAACCTTTGAGCTTCAGTTTTACTTTATAGGTAAAGTGCAGATAATAGTGCCTACATTTTAATATGGGTGAGATGGCTTGTTTGGCATTTGGCACAGAGTTTCCTGTTTTTAATAGTAATAGCTATTTGCAGATACACACAGAATGGGTAATGTTGGGGGGTTGTTTTTGCCAACTGTGCGGTGTTCAAAGTACATTGGTAGATTTATGAGAATTATTTTTAATTCCACAAGTAATTCCAGGCTCCCACCAGGCACCAGGTACTATAGGGATTGAGATAAGTATGACATATCATCTGACTTCTAGAGCTCACAGTCCTAATGGGCAGCTCTTGGCAAGGTTGAGCTTATCTCTTGGCTACACTTTCCTCAGTTGTGATTCCTCCACTTGCGTCTGGAGAAGGAAGTTTATACACATATGGTATACTCTCCCCTGAATTCTAGATTCATGTAACCAGCTGCTTACCTGGCATCTCCAATAGTATCCCCAACTTAGCATATCTGAATTCCCCCTGCAACTTATTCTTCCCACCATCTTCTCTATCTTGGAAAAAGACACCACGAATATCCGCTCAGTTGTTCACGCTAAAAAAAAAAAACCCAGGAGTTTTCACCACTTCCTCTTTGTCTCTCAGCACTAGCATTCGATTTATCATTGAGGCCTCTCTATTCTATCTCTAATTCATGTATCAAAACTATCTTTTCTGTTTCATCTTAGCTGATGTTTTCTTTGTCCAAGAACCATTATCTTTTCCCTGGACTAGAGCAACTATTTCTTATTGAGATCCCCAAATTCATTATTTCCCCTCAGCCACTGGGATGACATTTAAAAGATTTAAATAAGATCACGTGATACCCATATAACTTGAGCCCTCTCCCTCTGACCTCATTCATCACTGTTCTCTTCACTCACTGGCTCCAGCCACTCTGGGCTTCTGCTTGTTCCCAACTTCTACTTTTCTTTTGCCAGAATTCTTCTTCCCCCAGAACAGTGTGTGGCTGATTCCTTCTCTTCATTCATATCTCCACCCAGATGTGATCCTCTCAGAAAGGCCTTTCAAAGCCTTTTTTATGTCTCAGAGAGATTAGTCCCCACCCTATATCCCCAGCATAGTAACTCAGTTGAGTTACCCGTTTTATTTCCTTGCTAGCACGTATTACTGTCCGAAATAATATAATATAGTTATCTGTACTCCCCATAGAAGTGAGCTACCTGAGGTCAGAAATGTTTCTGCTAACCCATTGCTGTATCACAGTGCTTGACAGTGGTGGCAGTGGTCCTGGTGGTGGGGAGATCTGGAGGTGGTGGTGCAGGAGATGGTGGTTTCTTGGTTGTTATTGGTGATGCTGGTTATTGGTGGTAGTGGAGGCGACGGTGGTGGTGGTCATGACGGTCATGGTGGTGGTGGGGGTGTCATATTTTTAATATTGGTAAGAAGCATTCTTTAGATAAAGGGAACAGCTTTGCAAAGCCTCTGAAGTCAGTGACCTTGTAAGTCTTGTTCAGAATTTTTATCTTTGGTTTAATAAACTACTTCTGTTTTCACTAATGCCTTTTCATAATCTGTAAAGTGTCTTTCTCACTGTGGGCTAATGGTTCGTACTAATCCTCATACTTTTTCTCTCTCCATAGTTCCCTTCCCAGTGACCTGTCAGAAAGACTCGCTGGCTGACCTTGTGTTCCTAGTGGACGAGTCATTTGGGACCAGACAAAATTTAAGGAACCTGCAGAGCTTCCTGAAGAACATTACCATCTCCCTAGATGTGAGGGACAACTGCATACGGCTTGGACTTATGAGTTACAGCAATACAGCCAAGACTATTTCTTTTCTCAAATCAAGCACAAATCAGTCTGCATTTCAGGAGCAAATCCAGAAGCTTTCTCTCCAGGCTGGGAAGTCCAATGCTGGGGCTGCCATTGAGAAGATGAGAAGAGAAGGCTTCTCAGAGTCAAGTGGCAGCAGAAGGGCACAGGGAGTGCCTCAGATAGCAGTCCTGGTTACTCACAGACCCTCAGATGATGAGGTACGTGAGGCTGCAATGAAACTTCGTCTGGAGGACATAACTGTGTTTGCCATGAGCATCCAAGGGGCTAACAAAACCCAGTTAGAAGAAATAGTATCCTACCCTCCAGGACAGACAATTACCATGCTAAAGTCCTATGCAGAATTGGAAACTTATAGTAAGAACTTCCTGAAAAAGCTCCAGAATGAAATATGGTCCCGAATTTCTACTCGTGCTGAACAAATGGATCTTGACAAAACTGGTATGTTAAAAAAATATATTTTTCTTATTATAAAAGTAATTTGAGTAATTGCTTGGGCTGGGGCAGGAGTGAGGACTGACTTCAATTACATAAAAGAACTTTAGAAGTTATGGAAATGTTCTAAAACTAGATTTTGGTGATGGTTGCAAAACTTTATAAATTTACCAAAAAATCATTGAATGATTACAGTGGGCAAATGTTTTAGCATGTAAATAAATCATGTCTCAATAAAATGTAAAAAAACTAAAACATGTTAATTATAGAATAGTTCAAGAGTATTAATGAACATGGAGAAGAAAATAAAATTGTCTATAATCCTATCTTTTAGATAAAACTATTCTTAACATTTATTTCTCCTATCTTTAGTCTCTTTTGTCTCTATGCTTGTGCACACACAGACACACACATACACATTTAAAAAAATATATATAGCATGTGTATATCAGTGCTGTCCAACAGAACTTTCTGTAATGGTGGAAATGTTCTCTGTGCCGCCCAATAAGGCAGTCACTAGACATATGTGGTTATGGAGTACTTGAAATGTGGCTAGTGTCACTGAAGAACTGAATTTTAAATTTAATTTAATTTTAATTTTTTATTTTAATAGCCACATGTGTCTGGCGGCTGTAGTATTAGACAATGCAGGAAGGTATAGTTGGGTTACTTGTCATATCAATTATAATTACATTTAAATGTAGCTAACAGAAGGAAAAATAACAGTGATTTTAACAGAATAAAACTATATTTTCCTGTTTCACAAATAAGTCCTGAAGTAGGCAGACCAAGCTGGTGTGGTACACCACAGTGTCAGGGACCCTGTCTCTTTCTATGCTATATTTTTGCTACTTGTGGCTTTTATTTCCAGGATCATAGTCCAAGATAACTGCTCTTTGCATCACGGCCACATCCAGCAAGCAAGAAAAAAGAGAGATAAGGAAAAAAGCAGGCTTCCATCTCATTTTTTTTTCCAAGAATGTTCTCAGAAATTACATATATCATTTCTACTTACATTCTATTGGCCAGAACTTATTCACATGTCACAGTTAGTTGTAAAAATGGGAGGTTGAAAATGTAGTCTTTATTTCTGGCAGCCAAGGTAAAATTTTTACCTAGGTAAAAATTAGGTGTTCAATTAGTTTAGAAGAAAGAGAGAATGTATATTGGGTATAATCACTATTATCTACCTTTCCCACTTTCCTATCAATCAGTATCATACGCTTTTGTCCATTTGCTTAAATATTATTTTGCAACACTTTTTATGTTGGGAAAAATATTCCATCATATAGATATAACATAATATGTTTAATATATCCTAAATTGTTGGATATATAAGTCCTTGCCAATGCTTTGCTCTTATAAAAGTCTTGCAGGGATCATCTTTATGCAAAACCATGATTATTTTCTCACTTTTTAGTCTTTATTATTCTTTTTTTCTTCCATCATTCTAATGAAGGATATTCTATTTAAGATGCTTTGTGAATCTGCAATAGTTTTACTGAGCTCTTTCAAAGGTACATGCCAAGAGATACTTGATGTGACTGAGTGTATCTCATTCTGGGATATCTGCTGTCTTCACATATTTCCTTTGCAGATATATGCTTTCAAATAATTGGAACTAGAAGTTGGCAGCACTCATATGGGAAAGAACTGTAATCTTTCAATTATATTAAAAGCTAATTTTAAACTCAGACCAGTTCAACTGAAGGTTTAAGGATGCATCCTGGGCCAGCCCTGGATTTCCTCTGGCATATATACATTACAAGGCAGCAGGAAGAAACAAGACCTGTATTGCCTCCTGAGTGATAAATAGGGGACTCCTTCAACGTGGTAGTCACCTTGGTCTAATACCAACTATTAGGGCAGAGGAGGGATGTATAATGTGGTCTCATGGAATTTACAATTATGTGACCAAAAAAAAACCCCTATTAATGTCATTATAGAATATCTGAATGGGAAGATATCGGACCAAGGTTAGGGAAGGGCCATCCAAGGAAAATGGCTATCTTCCATAAAGCCTCAGTAGATGGCTTTTTAGTAATTCAGTGGCTCTCAAATATTGGTATCTGACTTAGGTTGGGTTCCTCAGAAGCAGATGCCAAACAAGGATTTATGTGAAATTGATATATTAGGAAATACACCCAGGAAAAACTGGAGATTGGTAGGAGAAGTGGTACCAAGAAGTGGATGATAAAGCCCCATGGAAGGTCAATTCCACAAGACCATTCTAGAGACAGTGTGGGTTATACCTTAGAGTTGTCTCAGTCAGGAACAGTGTAGTTAGAGAATTTATGTGCCAGCACAGATGAAGAAAATGTACATTTCCATACACTTATAGCTCAAGTGCCAAGTAAAAAGGGTTCTAATAACCCGCAAACTGACATAGGTACTAGTTGTTGGAATGAAAACACTGGGAGTCAATGTGCACAAAAATGGTAAAGAATTTGAGGGATTACAAGCAGAATGCCAACCATATCTATTGTAAATTTATCAGTTTTCCAAGGATCTTGTAACTAATTCAGTGGCCCAAGCCCTCCCCTAAACTAATGAATCAGTCTCTGAGGGTAAGGCCTGGGCACCTGCATTTTAGTAAACTCCCCAAAGAACTCATGCTAGAACCACACCTTAGTGAATTTGCCATGGTCTAGAGGTGGTAGCCAGCTTGGTAGTTTCAGAATGGTCAAACACAGAGAACTAATCTATGTTGACTTAGTCACTGCTATATCCACCACATCTGGCACAAAGTAGGTATTCAATTTATTAAACAATGCTTCATTAAATCAAGGTGAGACTCACAGTAGCCAAACCAAGAGATTGATGTATAAAAAAAGAATAACAATTATCTTTGTAATGAAGACTGTCAATGCCCAGAGGTCTGGACATTCCTCTTCTCTGAGAAGTTCATTCTGTCCCTGTACGCATGCCAAGTGAGAAGCTAAATTGTAACCAAAAGACTACTGGAGATTGTGAAATCAGAGCAAAGGAGTTAGTTTTATGACTGAAATATCTAGTGGCATTCAACTGGGTGGATGACTGTATTTAAAATATATATAGCTCTAATGCTCTCTGTATAAATACAGGTGAGGCCTTGGGCCAAAGAACACATTCTTCTTCAACACTGTCCAACCAAACTTTTTTGCAATGATGAAAATGTTCTATGGTTACACTGTCCAATATGGAACTGAAGAGCCGATTTTTAAGTTTTATTTAATTTTAAAATAGTTTAAAATTAAGTAGTTTAAATTTACATTTTAATAACAACATGTGACTAGTAGCTAGTGTGTTGGACAGCACAGCTCTAGGGAGGGTTGCTGGCCTGGGATCAACCTTTTTTTTTTTTTACAGTGAACTGCTTATCTTTGCCCTAATACTTTATGTGTTGATTTCATAGTCTAATTCTCAGAGTCAAACTTATTTGCAGGATTTCTGATTTCTTAAGGACCAACTTCCCTAGCTTGACATAACTGTAAATAGCTATAAATTGCCAAAAAGTTGTCAAGAAAGAAAATATTTCTGAAATGACTAAATTATCTAGTATTTTAAAGATCTTTCATATACTCAATGAGATAATTGCATAAATAACCTAAAGTTTAGAAGTATGCTCTTTCTCCTACCCAATTGCAACAAATGACTAGATAGACTTGTAAACAGACCATTAGGAAAATTAAAGCACTTTTTCATAGAATCTGCTCAATAAAGGAAGGAATGTGGAGAGCTCTTTTACTTAAAAAAAAATTGTTGAAATTTTGTGATGTACCAGGCCTACTGGGCAGAGAACTAGACAAAGTCTCTGCTTTGGTGTAGCTGACATTCTGTGGCAGGAAACAGGTTGTACGTATGAACAAATGGATAAGAAAATTTCAGAAAGTAATTTCTGAATGGAATCATAAAGAAAACAGGCTGATAGGATAGACAGTGATTGATGTGCTTTCATGGAAAGGGAAGAGAAGGCCTTTTTGCAAAACAGACACTTGAGTTGGCACATCCATGATGAGATGAGATGGAACCAGCCATGTGAATTTTGGGTAGCAGGGGAAGAATATCTCAGGAAGAGAGGAGGGCCAGTGCAGAAGCCCTGAGGCACTTTCAAAGTACTGAAAGAAGCCCAGTGTGGTTGGAGCACAGTGAGTAAGATGAAGAATTTCTGAAAATAGAGTCAGAGAGAAAAGCAGGGGGAAAGATCAGGCCAAATTTTTTTTAACTTCTAAATGCATTGATAAATCATTAAAATAGAAGCATAATATGGTCTGGTTCTAGCTTTAAAAATATCATTCTAGTTGTTCTGGGAAGAAGAGGTTATTGGAGAAGTAAGAACAGAAAGTCATCTATCCCACCCCAATTCTCAAGAAATAATAAGGCATAATTGTCTAAAAAGAAAGGTGTCAATATTGCAAAAACAATTTGACTTAGAGCCTGGAGACTCAGGAATCTGATCCTTACTCTTTAATCTACTGGCTGTGTTGACTTTAGGCAAACCACTAGGCTTGGCTCTGTTTCAATTTCCTCACAAGGTTGTTGCAAATTTTGAAGGAGAAAATGGGCATGGATGTACTCGAAGTGTACGGGGTCTGTGCAAACCTGAAGGATCCTCATTCTTTAGAACCTTCACAGCTTCATGTTCCTCTACAAGCCCTTCTTGCCAAGTTCTTTCCATAGTCTCTCTAATTAACCAAGAATGCACTTTCCATTTTCTGTCTTTATTCCAGGCTGTGTGGATACAAAAGAGGCCGATCTCTATTTCCTCATCGATGGCTCAACCAGCATCCAGAAAAAGCATTTTGAGCAAATCAAGGACTTTATGTTGGAGGTGATAGACATGTTTAGCATTGGCCCAGACAAAGTCCGAGTTGGAGCTGCACAGTATTCACATAAGAAGAAAGTGGAATTTGATATTCATATTTATACTAATGATGTGGACTTAAGAAAGGCTGTTTCTAACCTTAAGCAACTCGAAGGCAACACTTATACTGGGGCAGCCCTGGATTTCATGCTGCCAATAATAAGAGGGGGAAGGAAGAGTAGATCCAGCGAGGTTCCATGTCACCTCATTGTGCTGACTGATGGGAAATCCGCGGATGACGTCCTCGGACCGGCTGAGAGACTAAGGGCTGAACAAATCACCATCCATGCAGTTGGCATTGGGGAGGCTAACAAAACACAACTGCAACAAATTGCTGGGAAAGAAGAAAGGGTTAACTTTGGGCAGAACTTTGATGCTTTAAAAAGTATCAAAAATGAAGTTGTTCACAGCATCTGCACTGAAAAAGGTAAGCAAAACAAGAAAAAGCTTCATTCTCTGCTCGTGATTTGTTGCTTCAGCAGTCTTATAGCCAGGCTGAGACAAGGAGTGATGTGACCCCGTTGTCTGGCTAACATTTTCCTCACTTTCCTTATCACCATGGAGGTATTCAGCCTCTCACTTTAAACCAATTGCCAAGATTGGAGAATTCCTCTATAGACAGCTGCCCTGAGATCATCTTGTAAGTCAAAAGTAGGAAGGTTGCTAAAAATGTTGTGTCCTTGACAAAGCTCGCTGCTGTAGCAGTAAGAGACTCTATTCTGTGTGTGAATTGTGCATGTGAATATGCACGAGCATGCACTAATTGAGGCAGGTGAGTATAGTGGAAACAAAATGGGCTCTAGCTTTAGGTAGATTAGGGTTCCACTGACTTTTCTACTTGAGCTTCAAACTTCCTTATCTATAAAATGAAGTCAATACCTACATCAGAGAATCCTTACAAGGTTAGCATAATAAACACCAATCCTTATTCCTCTATTATTAATGCATATCTAGAATATATGTAACTGTTGTTTACTTTTATTTATAACAATTCTTAGGAAAAATACATTTGCAAATGCCTGTATCTGATTGTTATTTATCTTATTAATAATAGCCATTTACTAACTGAAGATGGTATGTGTTGATTGCTAGTATTAGCAGATGAAAATATTGTCTGCTGAGACACATGTTAGCCTACCGGTTAAGAGGAAAGATGCTGGAGTGAGAGTCAAAGTTCAAATCCCAGCTTTATCACTTACTAGCTGTGGACCTTGTATAGGTTACTTACTGTCTATCTGCCTTGGTCCCTTGTGTGCAGCCTTATTGCGTGGAGGAATGCCTGGCACATAGTAAGTGCTACTTAAAATTAGCTATCGCAAAAGTTGATTAAGTTGTTCAGTGATGAGGAAAGGAAAAGAACTCTCACTTATTTGAACTTAACAAAAGTTAAAAATGTGTTGGAATTTTCTCTGAGCCACTCAAATAAAAAAAAACAAAACAAACCAATAAACAAGCAAATAAGTTGCTACTTAAGCAAAATCTTAAGTCACCATTTTGTTCATTGTTCTCTCTGTTATGGATAGTAGTGTTATGGACAGGGTTGGGTCTTAGAAAGAGTACAAGAGGAAAGGTTCCCTAACGTTTCCTGGGCTTGATGCCCAGGAAATGGAAAGTAGATTGTATCTCAGGTCCTCTCAAGGGAGAAGGTCCTACCCCAATTCGAGGAGCTGCAGTACATCTCTTACAGGTCAGATAGTTGCAGCTCAGGTGTCTGAACACTGGCACATCTGAAGAAGGAGAAAAATCTGTGGACGAGAAAATGAGCCATAAGACGGTCAACAGAGAGGCAGGAAACAATGAACCAAAGCTCCAGCGTCTAGAGAAACACTGATTAGTCTCAGAGCAAATGTGGATAGAGTGAGACACAGTATATTGGTTAGGGAGCAGGTGGAGTGGCTATAACAAAAAGACCCCAAACTATACAATACAGAGTGTTATTTCTCTCTTGCATAATGGTTCAGGGTAAGCAGCCCAGCTCTAGTAGAGACTCTTCCATGCTCAATACATTGCTTCCATCTTTATGTCAAAAGCGAAACTCCAATTCTCACCTTGCATTTGTGGAAAGGAAGAAAGGGCTAGGGGAGCATTCCATGCTTAGTTGTTTTAATATGAAAATCCAGAGGCATTCAAATCACTCCTGCTTATGTCTGTTGGCCAAAACTTAGCCACAGGGCCACGTCTAGCTTTAAGAAAGACGGGAAAATATAGTCTTTACCTGGGCAACCATCTATATAGCTGAAACTTTATTGACACAGAAGAGCCGGGAAACAAATATTAGAGGACAAGAGGCAGTTTGTCACAAATAGATACAAGGAGGTAGAGCCTGCTAAACTGTATTTAAAAGTCTACTTAGAAAGTAGGAGTAGTGAAAGCAAGAGAAGTCTTTTGTACTTCATAGCAGGAGGTCTTTGCCAAGGCCACAGGTATCTTCGGTGACCTCCCTATTTCTTTCAGATGGCTCCAGAGAGGTTTGAGTCTCAAATGATGGGTTTAGTCCCCTCTGGTGGGCCTTACACAACACAAGTAATTAAAAAATAATTAGCGTCTTTTTATTCTTCTATGGCTGATGCTAATTGTTCATTTTTAAATAGTATGGGATGTACTCTTTGAGTATTGAGGGAGGGGCTGGTAAGAGAATACAGTGATAACAGATAGACAAAAGTGATAAGACTAAAAGGACTCATGATAAAGATAATATATTTGCATATTTTATATATATATTCTTACGTATATATACACACAAAATCTCTATTGCAAATTAATCATGTTTTTCCCATAACTTACAGAAATTGGTTTCCTATGCGTGTATATATGTACACATACATATATACATGTGCATATATTATGTCCATTTCCAAACAGTAGGGCATCTACAAATTTTACATATAAGTAAAGAGACAGTTCATATTGAATGGATACTGCTTACTAACACACTTATTATCTCTAGTAAAAGCTCTTCACTTCAGTTTCTAGTATTGATTTATAGTATTTATCGAATCACTTTAAATTACCCCAGGAAATTGTTCTATGTAAAGATTACTTAGAATTTTGTTTTTCAAGAATATATATAAAACACTGGAATATTAGTCCTATGAGTGCAGGGAATTGATTACTTCTTCTCTGATTTCTTTTTTCTTTTTTCTTTTTTTTTGATCACCATTACATCTTTAACACACATAGCCTGATGTTTGACATTTAGTACATTTCAAGAATTATGAATGAATGAATGATGAATAAATGATGTATGCACACATGAATGAATGAATGAATGAATTAATACAAATTTTAGGAGTTGCATTTCCTCTTTAAAACTTCTTGGATAATCTTCAATGGATTTCTGATTTAGGATTCCAGTCAGCAGGCTTTTACTAAAGAAGTCAATATAATTTTCAGATACAATAGCAGTTCCTTGAGTTAATTATTATGTTTTCTGATTTAATGCATTTATTTCTGCTTTACTGTTTCTGCATGTTCTAAGAACCATGCCAACCTGGTTAATTTCTGATCTTCTTGATAATATGCAGGATGTGAAGACATGAAGGCCGACATCATGTTTCTGGTGGACAGTTCTGGAAGTATAGGACTTGAAAATTTTGAGAAAATGAAGACCTTCATGAAAAATCTATTAGCTAAGGTTCAGATTGGTCCAGACAAAACTCAAATTGGTGTCGTTCAGTTTAGTGGTTATAATAAGGAAGAGTTCCAGCTTAATAAATACTTTACACAAAAAGAAATTTCAGATGCAATAGACAGAATGTCTCTCATTAACCAAAACACTTTGACTGGAAGTGCACTAACCTTTGTAGATCAATACTTCACTCACCCCAAGGGGTCCCGTCTTGGCGTCAAAAAGTTTCTTATCCTCATCACGGATGGAGAAGCCCAGGACGGTGTAAGAGACCCTGCCAGAGCTCTTCGGGACAAGGGTGTGATTATCTTCTCTGTGGGGGTGTATGGCGCCAATAGGACTCAGCTAGAGGAGATCAGTGGGGATGGCAGCCTGGTCTTCCAAGTTGAGAAATTTGATCATCTAAAAGCAATAGAAAGTAAACTCATCTTCCGTGTGTGCACTCTCCATGGTAAGTGACTCTCTTATCTGTTAGTCTCAAGGACGGGAGCTGTTGACTTTGTAGAGGGGTGAACAGTGGGGTTGTACTCTGGGCTTGGCCTCTAGCTGGACTTTGGTGTTAAGTTTCGGTCGCATCTATGTTGTGGTAAAACACCCTTGATCTCCAAGGATATTCCAGATTAATAATTTTGTCAGCTAATTTGGCAACAAAATAATCTGGCTTCGATGACTTCAAATACATTGCAAGAAGGTCTCAGAATTTTACATTAAACTTCCAACTCCTTAGTACCTATACGCCTAAATTTTTAACCCCAGATGTTTTTAATCCCCAGAATTGTTTCTTGGCTAATTATAACCATTGTTAAGCAGTAAATAATTAGAAATACAAATTTATCTTCCTCTTAGTTAAATTAAGTATCCTAAGCACTGCTCCCCCAAAAAACTCATTGTATTTTAAAGATATAGTATGCATTTTCATTACTGCACATTATTCTTAACCTCGATTAGGTAGGAATTTTACATTTGCCTATTTATGTATCTATCCCTTTGGAAAATTTTGTTACTTTTATGATTGCTTGAGGGATCATCATTTTTACCTCACAAATTATAGTCTTTTTCTGATTGTATTGAGCAACTTTCAGTTTGAGCCCATCAACTTTAATGGCTCTTGAATGAGAATTTGCTATAAATCCACATGTAAGGCTAAAAACACCTATGTCTTTAAATCTATTATGTGATGTTATCTGTGTTTTGGATACAACTTAGAGAATGAACCAAAGCATTAGTAAGTGTGCTCTATGTTGTTTCCTGGCAACATAGAGACTACCTCTGGGCTTCATTCTTCAGAATTATGTGTATGAAAATTTCAGGAAGGTAGCAAATAAAATGTCTCAGTGTAAACTCTGAGTTTTAGGCAGTGGTGCTGAGATGTCTCTCATAACAGCTTAATTGGAGTTTGTTTGTTTGTTTTTTTCCTCTAAGGATGGCAATGATTTCAAAACTCTTGGTAATGTTGAGACATTCTAAGACAGGCTTACCTTAAAACCACAGCCCCACCTTTGAAATCCACAGCACTCACTCTTCCTGGCATTTCTTCATTTTAATAAATGTAATGTTTGTGGAGGTCCCATCTATAGCATGAGGTAAAATTTCAGCTGGCTCACATATTAGATATACTCATAAAATATTATTTTCATGAGTAGTCACCAATCTCATTGTTGACTAGTCATGACTTCATAAATATTTATGAGTCTAATCAGGTACCCATATCTGTAGGAACCTGGGTTATTGCCCTAGGTTTCTACAGAGATAGCCTGGGCTCATCCGCAGTATCTTAGACTTGAAAATTTGAGACCTCAATGTCGGAAATAAGGATTGGAGGTATGGTAGGCAGGTAGGAGGCAGGGAAAGCCAACCTTGGGAAGGCATGCGCTTACGTCACTGAGGGAGGGGACAGGGAGGAGCGAAAGTCCACACTGCGGCGACCCAGCTCGAATGGTCCTTTGGCTTCTAATGCCCAGGAAGGAGGGCTCGGGGCTAGGGATGAGGTTATAGGAGCCTTAGCTGTCTCCTAACTTGGGGCCGCTCCTTTTTCTGAGTTGTAATTCAGGAGATCAGGGAAAGGAGCACAAATAAATGTGGGGAGGCATGGTACACATGGGAAAGTCTGCCTATCAGAAGCTCAGAAGGAAGCTGGAGCCAGAGGGAGCAGAATGAAAATCCCAGCCTATACAATGAACCTTGAGTTGTTTAGAACAGCAGGCCAGTTTGGCAAATGCCAGTCATGTCTCACCATTATGTTGACATCGAGCTACCTTCTGACATTTCCTTTCAGTGAAAAGCCTGCAAAAGGCATTACACATCCTAATGAGACATAGCAGAACATAAAAACCACTGCTTGGGGAGTCACATAGATAAAGGCACAAATATCCTTGGAATGAGCTGAGAGAGTTGTACATCTCTGAGCTTCAGTTTCTTTCTCTGTCAGATGGCAACAGCCACCTCTAAGAACTAAACAAGATGCAGTGTCTGGCACACAGTAGGCTCACGGCAAGTGGTAGTTCTCTTCCCTTCTCAGCTGTCTGTGTAGAATGCTCTGTGGAAGTTTGTGATGCCTGCTTTCTTTTTCTTTCAGATTGTAAAAGTATTAAACTGTTAGATATTGTGTTTGTGCTGGACCATTCAGGCAGCATAAATCTGGAACAGCAAGAAAGTATGATTAACCTAACTATCCATTTGGTGAAGAAAGCGGATGTTGGCAGGAATCGAGTCCAGTTTGGAGCTCTCAGATACTCTGACCAACCTGAGGTCCTTTTCTACCTCAATACACACTCAAGCAGCTCAGCAGTCATTGAGAATCTGAGGAGGCGCAGGGACACTGGAGGGTCGACCTACACTGCTAAGGCTCTTGAGAGCACACACAGCCTGTTCACGGAGGAACACGGCAGCCGCATCAAGCAAAACGTGAAGCAGATGCTGATCATCATTACCGATGGGGAATCCAATGACCGAAATGCCCTTAATGACACAGCATTGAAATTAAGAGACAAAGGCATCATCATCTACGCAGTGGGTGTAGGAAAGGCCAACCAAGATGAACTTGAGGCTATGGCAGGAAATAAAGACAACACTATCCACGTAGATAATTTCGACAAACTGAAAGATATTTACCTGCCTGTACAAGAAAGTATGTGTACCAATGCGCAAGAGGGTAAGCTGTGATTTTAAAACTTTCTATGGGGGTAGCAATAAAAGTTTAAGCAAAAAATAAATTATGTCATGGCTGCCAGTTACCTGGCTGTCATGGGCTGAACGCTTCTCTGCTCAGGCTGCATGTTTTCTCATCTCTAAAAGAAATGTGTTGATTGAGCAAGATCCTAAGGTCCCTCCCTGCCACAGCATGCCTTGAGATTATGGAAGGTTTCAGAAGCATTCCTTGCTGTCTTGCCATCTTGTTGCCTTTTCTTGACAGAAGGGAGCTCTTTTTAAGATCATATTCACCTTACACCATTTCATGGCTATGTGTGCTGCTGCATCTGCTCAATGGTCTCAGAGCAACCATTGGGCATCAGTTTCAAGCCAAACTCAAGTGGATTGTTTTATGGTTTAAACAGATAAACTTTTGTCTTCAAAGATCCAGGGCCCTCTAAATGGGATTATAGGCATTCTGTAGGGCCATAGGAAGTTCAAGTCGTTTAGTGTGCTTTTCTAGATAAGGGCCACCAGTGCAGAAGGAAGTATATGGGAATTCAAAGTAGGGTAATGGAGACTGGCTGCTAGGAACAGGGAGGGAAGGGGCCTAAGCCGATTCCATTAGATACCATTGGGTTAAGGTAGGCTGAAGATATCATAGCTGAGTGAGGAAAGGGAGAGATTTGTCACTTGAGCTCAAAGCAGCGGAGATTGACGAGGCATCTAGGGAGAGCCACTGTGCCTCCTTGGGAGGTCAGAATCCTTGCAGTATATTGGCCTAGTTCTTCTAACCTGGCAAATGAATCAATCGACTAACTTCCTTTCTTCTTTTCTTCACTCTCTTCCTACAAACTTCCTTCTCTTCTTCCTTTCCTCCTTTCTTCCTTACTCTCTGCCAATTTGAAGTCTACTTTTGAATCCAACACGAATCGTAGTTCTAAGACTGACATTAACCCAATCCCATCTCTTTAAGCAGTCCAACCCCAAACAAAACCTTCTCCCCAGTCCCGTGTCAGATCAGCATTTGCTGCGCTGAGTGAGACTATGTCTGACTGCCATACCCTTACCTTTTAAGTGAGGAATAAATTCATCTTCTTAGTTTCAGATACTGAATGATGGTATAATCTCTAACTAAGAAAAAAATTTGACTTTCCCAAGGGAGTGGGACCATCTCATTTCTTCTGCATGTTTTGACCTTCCTCTGGATTCCTACCCTGAAACCTGGTCTCCCTTCCATGCATCTTGTCACAGTCCAACATTCTCGACATTGGTACACACTGGACTATGTCGCTGCTCTGCTTGCAGTTTACAATTTTTAAACTCCAGAGTTCTATCTAGACCCTGCCCACCTCTCTAATTTCATTTTATTGCCCTTCCCCTCTTCAAAATCTCTCCTGTCACTTAAAAATTCCTCCACATCTTTGCATGCACCATTCTACCCACCACAAACACACCAGCCCACCACTTCCCCTGGCTACATCTAGCTTGTTTGTCACACTTCAGCCTTCGTTTGTCAGTTTCCTGACTCAATACCTGATAGTGTCCCCACTGTTTTCCCCGACTCCTGTATCTTCTGTTTCTCTGGCGGTAGGACTTAACATATATTTGCTGTTTTCTTATCTGTATCTGTCAGAAGATTATGAGCTCCTTGGGAAGGCTTGGCCTCTTGTTTACCATTGGGTCCCCACAAGTCTAGTAAACTGCAAGGACTATGGTCTTCTCCTAGGAATGTGGAGACTGTTTTATTCTTATCTCCCATGCCTACCTTTTGGAGGTAGATGCTGAGATGGAATTTGAGATACCAGAATTTTATTAGCGATCCACACCTGTAGAAGAATAGGGGAAAGCAGGACAGGCAGGAGTAGAACTCAAAACAATGATGCCTGCTTGACAAAGCTTCAAACCCAGCAGGGAGCTCTGGAGTGAGTGTTGCCCATTCGAGTTGTCCAGCATCAGGCTAAAATGACTGGGACTGGGTCTTTTTACCCCCTTCTCACTTAATTCTCAGATATGAGATGCCTTAGGAAGGGCATGGCCTTTGGCAAGGCATCCCTCTGCAGTGAGACTGACCCTGAAGGAGCTGGCAGCTGGAGGCTGTCTGCTAACCACACTTCCACAGCCAGGCAGCAAGTCCTCCCTTGAAGGTCTATCTGGGTAACCCATCTCTATGCCTTACAAGGAACTGTGAGATAGTGGGCATTCTGTTGTCTCCATTACCTTTTTAAATCACTTTAGTGCTGCCCCGACCCCAGCCATTGTGTTTGATTGGAACTGAGCGTAGATCATCCCCCTTGGTTATGGGACATTTCACATTGAACTTCAAGGAGATGACCCCCAGCCCTTCTTTACTAGCCAGTAGCGCTTGCCCCCATGAAGTTTTAATACTTTTCACATTGAACTTCAGGGAGATGACCCCCAGCTCCTCTTTACTAGCCAGTAGCGCTTGCCCCATGAAGTTTTAATACTTGGCTGATGATATTATTTTTTAAAATTTGTAATAGAAAACAATGCTGGGTTTTGAATAAAAAAGATTGAGAGGTCCAGATACTAGCTTCACTGCACAGTAATTATGTATTCTTAGGCAAGTCACTTAGCCTCTGAATTCTATTTCTGTATCTGAAATTAGAATAATTCCTCATAAGGCGGTCGTGAATATTAACTACTGTTGTACACCAAAACATTTTAAACTTTTTCTCTGAGTAGCTTTTGTTGTCTTTTCAAATGAATCATATAAATAATTAAAATTAGAAACAAAATCTATTATCTTTCTCCTTCTCGCTGTTTTTCCTTCTCTTTGAGGGCCAATCGGTGATTCTCTCTTCTGTTAACTTATCTCAATTTGCTACTAATGCGGGTATTTAGTAAAGCAATTTAAGTCTTTGAGTAAAGGGAAAATTTAGAATGATTCATAAGGAAAATTATTTTTTTTTCCAATTGCAGCCTGTAACATTCAAGAAGCCGATGTGATTTTCTTTTGTGATGGCTCTGACATGGTATCTGATTCAGAATTTGTAACCATGACAACTTTCTTATCAGACTTAATTGATAATTTTGACATTCAATCTCAAAGAATGAAAATTGGGATGGCTCAGTTTGGGAGCCGCTACCAAGAAATTATTGAGTTGGACAACTCTCTGAGTAAAACCCAGTGGAAGACTCGAATTCAAACTGTCGCTAAGAGCAAAGGGCCTCCACGAATCGACTTGGCCCTTAAACAAGTGAGCGTTATGTTCCATCCATCCGCTGGTGGGAGAAGAAATGCTGGTGTCCCTCAAACGTTGGTTGTTATCACATCTGGGGGTCCCCAGGCTAATGTGGCAGATGCAGTAAAAATCCTGAGAGACCTTGGAATTTGTATCCTGGTTTTGGGCATAGGACCCGTTCATAAGGAACAGCTTCTGCCGATAGCAGGCAATTCTGAAAAAATCATCACTTTTCAAGACTTTAATAAATTAAAGAATGTGGAGGTGAAAAAAAGGATTGTCCGGGATATCTGCCAGAGATGCGGGAAGACAAGTAAGTGTTCCCTTGCTCTTTGTTGTTATTTAATTGCATCTTCCTAGTTCTCCATTTCCCAAGATGTCTTATGGGCTTGCTCTAGAATAGTGTGCAGTAAGAATAGACCTCTTTTCTCTTTCCAGGAGGTTTTGGATCAGTCAGCCTCCCTCAGAGATAAGGAAAGGGGTGCAAAGACTGGAGGAGGCCCTAGGTTGTGTTTTCTGGTCAACCTTGTCCCCTCACTGCAATACAGTATTTATGCCCCTTCTTAGCACCTGGAACTCAGTCTCCTATTTCTACCTCTCCACGTCTGGAAGTCTTAGAACAATGCCTTGTATCTAGTAGGAAGTAAGTAAAATATACACTTGCTGATGAAAAGTTTTTCTATTTTAGCTTTGTTAAACCATTTCATAAGGGACTCGGTGTATGTGTGTGTCTGTGTGAGCATGTGTGTGTGCGTGCGGCCATGTGTTTCTTTCAATGATGGCATTCATATAATCATGACATAGTAAAGATTTGAATTGTTCCTAGGGATTATTTAATTTCCAGAGAACACAAACACAAATGGCTGCGAAGGCCAGGTAGGTAATGTAAATGAGTCAAAGGGGCAGGGAATGAATAAAATACACGGAGAGCAGACGTCTGGTGTGGATGGCACTGTTCAGCTCCAGCTGAGAGCAGCCATCTGGGACTCAGGTTCTGTGAATTAGAGCTGGGAGTTGGGAGGACAGCGCAACAGGAAGCAGCAGTAAATGATGACATTTTGTGGAATTTGCATAACACACGTAGACATTCCTCAGAGTGCTTCTATTTCTGGAGTCGTTATGATTGAAGCCACTTCTTTCACATAATGTGTTGTCTTTCTAAGCTCTCCAGATCTTTCACCCTGGAGGCAGATTACAGTGGTAAAGAGAGCCCTGGGCCTGGACTCAGAAAGCCAGGGGTCTAATTCTGGTCAGCAGCAGCAACTTCTATGAACCGCTGTCTCCTCATGTGTAAAATGAGCAAGTAGACAGGGTAGAGGTGACCAAATGGCAACTTGCGGCTGAATTGTGTTTGTCTTATCCAGAATGGACAACTTGTTAAGTTAGTTGACAGCTTTTACAAATGGGAGATGGTTACATTTGAAATGTAGATTTTAGGCTTTTCTTTGAAAAAATCAGATGATCTGACAATACTGGGTCCCCTTTCCCACATGGCTCCTCTCCGCTAGAACTGAACAGTGAACAGATGGGCCATTGCTCTCCATTTATTTTCTTCACTCCCTGCCCCCTTGACTATTTACATTACCCACCTGGCCTTTGCAGTCATTTGAGTTTCTGACCTCTGTATTAAATAATCCCTAAGGACAATTCGAATATTTAATATGAGTTAACGAATCATAATATGTCATCATTAAAAGAAGAAAATATGCGTGCATGCACAACCTTCCCCCCATCCCCCCTGACACACACACACAGAGAAAGAGAGAGAGAAAGAGAAAGCCAGCCACTGAGAATGAGACTAAATCATGATTGGAACTTCAAATTGCAATTAGAACTTGTATTAGAGGAACATCTACATCATATGTTGCTTGAGCAGCTTAAGTCTTCCTTCGTGGACACTTTTTGGGTACCTGAGACCCTTTAGCCCTGGGTCATGACTCCTTTCCTTTTTCTGCCTGGTCCGCCCTTCCTTGTACCTCATTAATCTACTCATTAATCTGGCCTTATTTCCCTTGGTCTCCAGATTGCTTTGTGGACATAGTGGTCGGGTTTGACATTTCCACTCACTTGCTGGGGCAGCAGTTGTTCCATGGTCACCCCCGGCTAAAATCATACCTCCCAGGCATCATAGAGGACATCACCTCCATCAGGGGTGTGAGCTGTGCAGCAGGTGCACAGACGCACGTGAGTGTGGCCTTTAAGGTGAATAATGACCAAGAATTCCCTGCCAAGTTCCAAATCTACCAGGAAACAATATTTGACAGCCTGCTGCAAGTCACCGTCAACGGGCCAACTCATCTGAATGCACAGTTCTTGCAGTCACTGTGGGACACGTTTGAGGATAAATCTGCATCCCGAGGACAGGTATCCACGTCCCATTCTATCTCCCATCTTCACATTCTTTTACGTGTTTCTCCCTCCTAATTATATATTTCATTCTCACAACATCCCACTCTCTGCTTTCCTCTTTGTCTAGGTGCTACTCATCTTTTCAGATGGCCTTGGGGGTGAAAGCATCACAATGCTTGAAAATCAGTCGGACAGGCTCAGAGAAGCAGGTATGTACTGAGTTGGAAATTTAAATAATGAAGCACGGAATGTGCTGAACAAAGCTCTACCCTATTCAGGTGCTCTAGATCTTGGGATCTGTCTGGCTACTTGTGGCAGATGCTGTTGATACCCTGTGCAACCCCCATTGACCAGCCTGCACACTTATGCCCCAAATGCTGTCCTTGGTATGGTCGAGTGCTTATACCTGTGACCTTCTACAGACGTGTGCCTTGACTGATGATGACCTGATGCTTGGAGTGGGTGTGAGGCTGTGCCATATCCCATCTTGGAGTGGAAGTGGGGAACTCAATGATATAGAGATAGAAAAGTCCAGGGTCAACTCTGATAGTTTACACCCTAGAGTCCCTCATGAATCAGGCCAAGATGAAGACGTTATTGAGACACATCCTTGCTTACAACTTCCCCTTCCCTTTCCTCCTCCTCTCCCTCCCTCAGTTAAGCACATACACACAAACTTCTCTCAGATTCTGCTTCTGGAGAACTTAAAACACTTACTATTATTTCTGATTTTCCATGTGAAAGATAGCTACATGGACTTCGAGAAGCACTTCTCAATATATAGTCCCTGTCCATGTTATAGTTTCAGGCTGAGCCAGAAGCTAAATGTCGAATTTGAGAGTAACATGCAGAGGTAGGAAGCTCTACTGATTTTCAGATGGAGTACATTGTTTGAGACTTCCTGGGTGTAGGCTCACATTCGCTTCTGAAGCTCAGCTTTCATGGGCAACCTCCCCAGGGGCAACAAAATGTCCTGCTTTATTGCTGAATTGTGTCAATTTCCTTTCTCAGTTCCCTTCGACACTTCCTACTGTATGGCCCATTGTGAGGCTTTGCAGAATCTGGCCCTGCTCCCCACGCCAGCCTTACTCTTCACTCTGTGTTCTAGGCATACAGAGCCTTTTCCATTCTTCCTCCAATGAACTCCACAGCCCCATCCTTCCAGTCCTTGCACATACTCTTTTCTTTTACCTAGAATTCTTCCCACTCTCAGCTACTCCCCAGTTCTTCTTTCCACCTCCTACCTCTCTGGTTCTTTCTCTTGACCAGCTTCCATTCATCCTTTAGTATCAGCTTAGACATCAGTTCTTTGCAGGACCTTCCATGGTCTCCCAAAGCTGAGTTAGGAGCTTCTCCTTTAGGTTTCATAGCACCCTGACGTTTCCTCTGAGGGTACTCACCACATGTCAGAGCAACTCTCTGATTCTCATCCACCCGAGTAGACTACACCTTTGTGAAGGGAAGGAGCATACCTGTCCTATTCATCTGTATCCCTGGTGCAATGATTAGTACATGATAGGCTCCTAATAAGCAAATATTTGTTTAATGAAAAGATGAATATAGTAATTAATAAATGAGTGAATAAATTAGTAAATGAACTGGTTATGGCCAGGAGTTCAGCTGAGACCGAAATCACCCTGGGCTTTCCTCAGGCTCTCAGGCCTGGGCTCCCAGGGGTGTTTGGCAGTAGAGATGACTTGAGAACTATCATTAATTTTCATTCAGTAAAATTTAGAAAAACTCTGAGGTTGACCGAGAACAACGCCCTTTCTTAAAAATTGCTTTCAGATGCCTAAGAATTGCATTAAAATAGGTGGTGAGATATTAAACAATTTTGTTAGTGTTTTTCTATAAGATGCATAAGTAGTTTCTCTTGCATACTTTTTCTTGGGAGATTTCATGCTAAAGTCAGGGATCACTGCCTAGTGTGTATGTTGAAAATTTAGGCAAACCTGCTGTTGGGTTCTTCATACGTCACGAGTGCTGCTTCCTCTTATATTTTTTCTTTCCTGTTTTTGCCCTTTCTGATTCTTTGAATCTTGTTCACTGAGTAGCTTTTCTTCTTTTCCATGTACAATTCCTTTGGTTTCATATGTGTTGTTTTGTTGCATAGGACTTGATGCTCTGCTGGTAGTGGCCCTAAACACAGCTTCTCATGACGAATTTTCCAGCTTTGAATTTGGAAAAGGATTTGATTACAGGACTCACCTGAACATTGGAAATAGAGACCTGGGCACAATGCTGTCACAGTATCTGGTGAGTTTTTGAACAAAAAATCCAGTTACTCTAAATGTCATGGGAACAAAACTGGAATCTTGATGAGTATTTCCAAAGACTGCTTTGTTCGCCCTAAATTCAGCACATGGTCTTTAGTATATAAAAATGTGTGGAAGAGCAGAGCATCTAATTTGGTTTTTGTATGCCCTTCTATCCTTTGATATCTCACCAAATGAGTGCATAGGAAACTAAAAACTAACCAACCACTAATTAAATAAAAAGCCCCCACCTGCTTATGCTGCAGAAATTCCAAGAAACAAGAGACTGTCTTGTGCACACCTGGCCTGTGGCCATCTATGTGGCCTGTGTCCTTCCTAAAAATAGAGGTCATTTCCTTGGAGAAGGTATGTTGCCAACATAGTTGCTAACTGGCATCCTCTCTAAAGTGTTAAGTTAAAAAGCACCTCTTATTCTCTGCATTCACTCACCTGATGGGAGAGCATGGGCTTAGAGGTGGTAGATTATAATTTGTGTGAATACTGTTCTTATGTAATGAAGTTCTTGATAATTGTTGCTCACTCAAGTCTGCTTTTTTTCCAGGGAAACATTGCAGAGAGAAAGTGCTGCTGTACACTTTGCAAGTGTCCAGGGACTCCAGGACCTCATGGGACCCAAGGACTACAAGGCTCAAAGGTGTCATTCAGTTGCAAATGTTTTACTCAATGGGCCTCAGTTTGGTGGGGGTGGGATTGAGACTGAGTAGTTGAATTTGCCTTGGTCATTTAATGCTGATATAACTGCCTTTGACATTTTGTGTGACTTTTGCAGTATAGCAGCCAGTTTAGTTTTTTTTAATGGTTTAGTTGCATTTTATTGGTTTTCTTTCAGAAGGGTGCAATTTTGAGACTGCTATTAAGAATTACTCCCTTTTCTTTGTGATGTTGCTTCTTGGTTTTGCAATTTATATTTTTGTACCTGCTTTAGACAATTCAAAAGGTGACCATTTGTATGTCTTGTTGGGAGAAGTGTCTATTTAGGTCTTCTGTCCATTTTTTAATTGGATTTTTTTGTTGTTGTTTTTGAGTTGTATGAGTTCTTTATATATTTTGGACATTAGCCCCTCATCAGAGATATTGTTTGCAAATATCTTCTCCAATTTAGTTACAAGAACCATATGATTTCATCATATGTGGGATATAAAACAGAAAGCAACAAATGAACAAGCAAACAAATGAGAAACTCAGAAACACAAACAGTATGGTGGTTACCAGAGGGGAAAGGGGGTGGGGCGGATGGTGAAGAGGGTAAATTGGGTCAAATATACGGTAATGGAAGGAGACTTGACTTTGGAAGGTGACCACACAATGCAATCTATAGATGATAATGTATTATAGAATTGTACACTTGACACTTATATAACATTATTAAGCAATGTCACCTGAATAAATTTAATAAAATTTTTTTTAAAAAGGTGGCAAGAGGTGTTAGAAATAGCAGGGACAGTTGTAGGAAAGTTGTACTTCGCCAGCAATGGACCGTGATTGAACTGCAAAAAGGGCATAGCATTTCAGATTAGTAGTCCTTTAAAAAAAAAACAAATTATAAAAGATCAGTATACAACAATAGCATAGATAAGTATGTTGTGGTATTTTTCTTCAATGGAATGATCTAAAGTGATGAAAATGAATGAACTGCAGCTACCAACAACAACATGAATAAATTTTACAAACACGGTAATGGCCAAAAAAGGCAAAACACAGAAAAGTACATGAGATATGATTCCATGTATAAAAAATTTGAAAATAGGCAAAATTAATCATTCATCTAAGGATGAATGATTAAGTAGTGAAGTATTAAAAAAGGCAAGGAATTATTCTCCTAAAAGTCAGTAGTATGCTCCCTGGGGTGGGGGTGGGGAGTGGTCTGTGATTGGCATGGGCAACTGTGTCTGGGTACCAGCCTGGGTGGTAGCCACACAGACAGTCACTTTATAATAATTTGGCTGTATCTTTATATTTTGTTTACTTTTATGTACTTTTTCAAATGAGTTTTAGATATCACAATTAAAAGGAGTCTGGTTTGTTTTATTTCAAGAGATCAAGTGCAATGCTTGCTCTTGAGTCCTGTGTTGTTCATGCTTGTGGAAGGATAATTTAATCTTGGACTTTTTTACTGAGTTATGATGTTTTGTTTAGCACAGTTTCCTCTCTCAATACTTTGCTCAGGTCAGTTTTAGAGTTATAGTCCAAGATCACCCTCCTCCCCCTACCCCATCGCTGAGCAGACAGCTAGGACCATCTTGGAGGAAGAAGAAAGCAAACCTCAAATGAAATCCTTGCCACAAATAAGCCATGAGGCAGTTAAACCACTCATAGCAGAAGGAGAGATGATCATAACAAAAACATATGTAAACTCGTTGGGAGAAGTCCTTATTCTTTGAGCTCTCAAAAAAGCAGAAGAAAATAAAATGATCTGTTTGGAAATGTTATTGAATTTGCCTGCTGAAAGAGTTGTGGTGGCCACTGCTGTCCTTTTGCAAATCCCCGAGGCACAGCACTGGCTCTGCACCCAAAGCTACAGGGTGAGTTCTAAAAGTCAGCCTCCTGTAGGCATCAGGAGGGCCACCTTCTGCAGCGGGCTTCAGAGGTGAGCGCAAGATCATAAGCCAGCTCCAGAGGTTGTGAGACTCTCCCCAAACCCATAGCCACACCTGCCAAAACTACCACCAAGGTGAAGGGAGGGGCTTCATCTTGCCCAATGATTTCACAAGTTTGAATTGATGGAAGATGGCTAAAATTTAATTTTCTCTCTTTCTTCCCAGGGTTCTCTAGGTCTGAAAGGCAGCAGAGGACACAGGGGAGAGGATGGAAGCCCTGTAAGTTTTGTGACCCACTCCCCCTACACTTGTTGATTTCCTTTTTCATAGAAAGCTTTATTTTCCTACAGAAGAGGTAGGTGGGGTTTTTTGCAGTTTTGGGGGGAAATGAGTTGCTTTTCTTTTCCTTTTTCCTTGTCTGAATCACAAGGCACTTGCTAAACCTGTTTTCTGGAGGAAGGAAGGAGCAAGCTCACCTACATGTTTTCTGGCACATTTTTACCAGTGGCAGGGAGGTGGGCATGCTCCTGTCTGCCCCACGAAGGGCAAATCAGGATTATCTGCGAGGGGCTCTCTTTGGACGTGAAGCCCAGTGCTGAGTACATGGAAAAGGAAGCAGGCAGAGCACTCTCTAAAGTGTGGCATCATGGTTACATGATATGCAGAGGTTTTTTAATCTCAGTCTTTGACCCTAAAATCAGAATTCTCACTCCGTTCATCAATCAGATTTTGAAAATGGATTTAGAGGTACTGAAACCACATGGGTGGCTCCATTGGGGGTGGGAAAAGTTAAAGAAGTATCTAGGCAGCAAGTTGTGGTTATAAGCACAGACTTTGGACAGGCACTCAAAGGCGGACCTAGATGTGAAACCCGAATGAGATACTCAATTTCTTGACCCTTGGTCTCCTCATCCGTAAATATTTATAAATTCCTCTAAGACTGTAGTTTACAAAATGACCACTAAGAAAAGTGCTTTAAGTCACTCACCCTGTACCTGTAGAGGGGTCTTGGAGCCCACTAAGCCAGCAAGGTGAGGGCTTTAAGTGTGGGGACTAGTGTCAAGCTACTGTTTTGCTGTGAGCCCACAGCTGGCTGGGAGTGCAGTCAGTGGGAAGCCTCAGCATTCCTGTACCTCTCAGCAGCCTGTGGCCATGGGTGAGGCCTCCTGCTCTCCTGGGAATAATCCTCAGAATTAAAAAAGCAGAGCAGAAGAAAGGAAAATCTCTTCTCCCTTCACCTACCAGGAAGGAGAGAATTAAGCTAATTGCTAAAAAATTACTTATCCATACAGCAAACCATTAGCACCTGCTGTGCATTCAGCTCTAAGCCAGGCATAAGGGACACAACGGGGAAAGAGACAGGTAGGGGTTCCTGCCCTCAAGGAACACAACATTGTCCTTCTCTCGAGATTCATTTTATTCTATCATTTACCTGTATTTAAGTGTTTCCTGGGAGAAGCAGAATTTATGGGAGATGCACACACGTCATTGAGTTCTCTTCCTCGTATGGATGGTCTGAGTTTGGAGATCATTAACTTGGTGGGCCTCCCAGTGAGCTCTGGCTTGGAATAGTGTCACTCCCCATCAACTGTTTCTATGCAGCTCCAGTCCTCTGGCACTGACTTGCTTCTGTACCATCAGCCATGCTGTCTTTTCCAGGGCAGCATTAAAGCCCTGGGCAAGATTTCAGGGCCAGTGTGTATTTCCGGAGTGTTCGAAATGTGGCTAGAAAGCGAGGTGACTTCCGAACTTTTGGCAGTACTGTCTGAGGCAGTGAAGCAGCTGAGCTCATCCTGCACCTTTGTGTGATCGTGGATCGAAAAGGAAGTCCTGGAGGTTAACGGGGAAAATGTTTGACTAGAGTGGAAAAACAGAGTTAAACGAACTAGTTTGTGGGAGATTTTATCTAAAGCTCCGAGTACCCATGTGCTGTAGCTAGCTTCACTCTTGAAAAGTAAACTGCTGGCAGCTTCCGGTAGAAGAATCACTTTGGATACCTGTTTGGGTATCTTTTCTCAGGGAAGCCGAGGAGAAATTGGACCCCCAGGAGATAAAGGGATTGCAGGATGTCCTGGGCAGGAGGGTCAAAAGGTAAGGTTCTGTTGGAGATGTTATTTTAAATTCCTTACGACATTCTCTCCCTCTGTCCTTCGCTTCTTCCCTCCAT